AACATGTTTGGGATATTCTTGGGCGTCGGTTGCGACAGCAATACCCAGACTTGGCGAATTTAGGGCAATTAGCGCACGCCCTCCGCCAAATTTGGCGAAGAATACCACAGTCAATCATACGGAGGTGCATTAATATGCGCAAACGATTAAAAGAAGTAATCAACCGGAGAGGCGGTAATACCCATTATTAAACACAACATACGCATACATGCACGCACGCACGCATCGGAGAGTGAGTTTGGAGTCAAAAAATACTGTGGGAGTGACGAACCACAGGGTCTCATCTCTCCATGCTTGTACATACGCAGTGAAGCGTAAATCCGACAGTGAAACCTCCTCGTGGTACGCCTTAGGTAATGCTAATGCCGGCAGTATTGTGCACCTTTTGTCATTGCGAAGAGATTGTTTAAAAATGTGTTTGCTAAATTTCTGACATCTCTACTTTCTTCTGAAATAAAGTGAAACTAAGAAGACACAGACCACAACAGTTCAAACGCTGCGAAATCGTTTTAAAGAGGAAACGTGCCGCAAAAGAGTCATTCACCAATTTTTCAGACTGTATCGCAAGTTTCACTATCGAGGGCACAGGGTAAAAAAAATCTGATCAATGCGGCCTTTGGTACAGGGGTTACGTGTACTTTTAACTTTAAAAAAACGTAGACACCTGGAAGATTCCACAATTTTTGTTAAAATGGCATCGTGTTTTGTGAAAAATGGTAATTATGCAATATTTTACGTTATTTTGAAATGGACTGTAGACGACGAACAAAAATTTCAACAAATTGGCAACTAAAGGTCTTGAAAGAGAAATCTCTCAGCTTTCCAAATCACTTCTGGAATTTTCTATACGATCATGCGTTCGCAAGTTACAGGCGCTCAAAGTGGAAAGTACCTTTTCTCATATGATGACGAATAACTCGGCCAATAAAAACTGTACAACAAAATTAAAAAAACGAAATTAAAGAGAAAAGTTTGCTTTTTAAAAGTATTGACATTGGAATTACCAGAAAAAATTTCATTTGGCCCATGCATCCTCTCAAACTTGACCAACATTTTTTAACATTCGCTTACTGCGCTTCATCTTTAAAAAAAAAGGAACAAACTACATAAAAATAATTTTTGAATTCCCGATTCAAAAATTAGAAACTTCGGGCTACAAAATGCTCTGTCATAATATTTTTTATAGCTATTTTTCGCGAAGATATAGGCAACTGAAAATGACCAATATTTTCGGCAAATTTTAGTGATGCTTTAATTTTGGCGCCCAGTGTATTTTATACATCAAGATTAAGCAAAAAGAGTGCAAGAGTAATAAATTAATGAAGGTTATAATTAGTTGTTTCTAAGAATCTAGGACTAAAACATCAAAATATTTATACTTTTTAAAACTAGATATCGAAGACTAATGGTTAAAAATTTGAACATAATATAGCCACCTTCTTTAAAGTTTCCTCTTCAAAATACAGATCTGCCAACATGGTTGTTTTTTATCAGTTATGGCTCGTCTGTGGTGGCGGAAACAGATTATATGTATACAGAACAAAAGATTCTTGCCACTTGTAGCTAAACAGCAAAAAAAACTATCAAGCAGAATCAATTGATTAAAGTGAGCAAGCTCGCAACCAAGTAGCTCATATTATTTGCAATATAGTACGTCAACTTATAGATGATTCTGATTACCAATTATATACACCAAATTATAATGATTGCCCAGGTCTCACCACGTGGAGGTTGCTGCGAATGGAGACCCGACGAAGATAGACGGAATCACAAGTTCAACGTCTATCAATCTTTTACAATTAGTCTCGTTATAAGCGACTTAAATCTTATTGTTAGTACGCTCGCACCGAACACACGCACACGCACACACGCACACGCACGCGCACACACGCACGCGCACACGCACACACAATGCGGATCATAAGCAATAGATGGACATTTGGCGGCGAACTGTTGGCTGAAGAAATGGTGAGAGAGGTGGTAAGGAGAGGGAGAGGGAGCGTTTCGTCCTGGGCCTGCTAGTGGACTCGTCAGTAAGGCTTTCTAGCAGACCCTGCCTTAGACGCGGGGGTATACGATGGTCGGTTAAGGACGTATATATACGAACGAGGAAGGCTTCAGGTAGTTGCGGGAAAGGTATCAACTCGGTAGACCTCTGATGGCGAATGTAGGAAGGAAGGTAGTGCCGCCACAGACACCTCTGCTCTGCCCTTTATAAAAGACAGAATACTCATTCCTTCTGAGTATATGCGTCTACCATACAAATATGTTTGTGGGACACCATACATGCTGGTGAAACACAGTAGTACCTTCCCTGCATCTAACGCTCACACTCCATTAAAGTGGTCGTGAGTACACGCCAGTACGTCTCGGTAGTCTACCCGTGTACGTAACCGTATGCGTTCTTTGCCAGTGGCAACGATAACACCGGCTACGATAACTGGACATCGCAATGCACTTTTCAATGGTCATACATGCACAACCTGTTAAATTGTTCCATAACACGCGGTTTTTCACTAGGGCGTGCATATCAATGCACAGGTGACATAACTTAATACGTCTTTTTTTATGCACCGATACTTTATTGCGATTCCCAGTACACGTGTTCCACTATTTATGGTACTTGCAAATACGAATGATACCTTTGTGTCTTGCGACACTGGTTCCGGTTTTTGAATCGTACTGTCGCGTCTCGTAGTATTGCGTTAACTGCTACAACATGCTCATCTAAGGAGGCACCACTATGTTTTCCCCTTTATTTTAAATATACCGGTATGGTTCCGTTCTTTCAACCCTATATTCAAGGTTCTATATTTATGTTACAAATTAACAATTATTGAACTCGTGGTGTGTTGCGAAGTTTACAAATTAGATCAGAAATACGTAAATATTACACTAATTGGTACACAGTGAAACCGAAGAGTAAACCGAAAACTACGGTATCGAATTAATTTGGGATTATTTAGTCTAAATTGGATAAATGTTAGAGGACAGTAACGATAGAGAGCTAATGAAGGTCTAGGAATTAATATATATATGAATAAAGATGAAAGGTAAATGTCAAACACTCACTTTGGTACGAGCAAACGGCTTCTACGTCTTATTGCGCCAACTTCTCTGAAAGGAATGACACTTCGTTTACATTCGGCCGGTTCCAACGGTTCATTCGGCTATCTTCGGGAGACCCCGAGTAGCTGATTGGTCAGAGCGGTATATCCTCGTGTAATACGACTTGGCGGGAACAAACATGTGCACGACTCTAGTTCAAACGACGAATGTAACACTTGAAAAACATAATGCCAAAAATATATTATATGTATTTCGTCACTTATCTAAAAAATAACTTATTAAATGTCCGTTAACATGTTTGTACAGAATACTAAATTTATTCACACTTTACTTCATGGGAAGCATGATCTGGGAAACGTACATATTTGTCGTTCTTGCAGATTGTAGACGAAGCCAATATCAAGGTTAATAACAATCAATAACAATTAATAACAAAAGACTTGGCGGGAACAAACATATACAAGTATCCAGTTTAAAAGATGAATGTACCAATTAAAAAACTCCTTGAAAAGTCTATATACCTGATACGACCACGGGAGAGCGGGTAATTGGCGCTCGTTAATTGATCAGTTTCTGGAAATTTTGCCCTCTACAGTCTACAGCCCCGAGATGATCAATTATCGAGAGGCTACTGTATTATAACAAAGACGAGATATAGTAGAAACAAAGACGTGTGTGTATGTAATATGATTTGTCGGTCACAAATATATGCACTGTGTCTGTTTAAAGGATGAATGTAATATAAATGGACAGTAGATTTTTATGCAAAGATAGATTTGATGCAAAGTAGATTTTCTAAAGTAATTTATGACGACAGGAAGAAATCTGAATTTTTTTCAACAATATCCAGATCTTACAAGCTTCGATATATCTCGATTTCTATTTGTTATAATTATTAACAATCTGCATGGTAAAATAACTGATAGAATGTGGCACCGAAGATGTGATTGTTATAAATATTACATTATCGAAAATATTAAATTTATTATAAAATAATTTCGTGCGACTTAATGTAATAAACGATTCATATCTGACAAGGTTTTGTATATCTCGATTTCTATCAGTTATAATTGTTAACAATTCGCATTGTAAAATGGATGATACAATGTTGAACATCTCCTCCCGAAGATGTAATTGTTATAAACATTATAATATTATAATATTAAACTTATTGTTGAATCATTTCACACGAATTGAGTAAAACCAAAAATACTGTTCTTAAAACTGTAACAGTTATTGTCAAGGACAATATCAATCATACATCAATCAAAGAATTCCTACTGTTCTACAAATTTGTATGAATTCCTTGCTCAAAACGCTACCAAGGCACATTTTCATTAAATAATATTTAGTTAAAATCGTCATAAACATTAAGACATAGTTGTTGTTTAATAATATGCAATAAAATAAAATTTATTACATGTAAAAGTTCATAAAACGATTCATATCTGACAAGTTATTGTATATCTTGATTTCTATCTATTATAATTGTTAACAATTCGTATTGTAAAATGGATGATACAATGTTGAACATCTCCTATCGAAGATGTGATTGTTATAAACATTATAGTATTATAATAAAATGTAGAAAAAACATTATTCAATTAACGTGTGAAATATTATTTTTATCTATTGTACATGCTACTGTTTCTTCGTACGTATACCTTAAAGTTACTTAAATCGAAATTTTCTGAAATACAACACGTAACGCATATTCGGCTTACAAACAGAATTACAAACACCAATTCCCCATTTGGAGTATCTAAACAATCCCCCCCAGGCTCAAATGTAGTACACATCACGGTGCTATAAATTTGTCTGTGATCGTCACGCATTTAAATATCCCGTGCCAGCCATGAATAACACAGTGCAAACACCCGTTTCAAATATTTGACGATGTTCGTTCTCAGAAACGGCGGAGAAAGATCACGAGAAAGGAAAAGGGAAGTTCCTCAAGTGTTCCAGGAGCTGCCTGAATCGCTGCACCCATTGTACACCATTAAAATGTGCCCGGAAATGTGCTACACGTGTTCGGTTGAAACACAAATGGGTCCTCGTACAGTGAACGGTGGATTACAACGGCTGTAGTTACGGTATTTACTTTGTGCTTCTCCGTGGCTTTCGTTCGAAAAATGTTCACCATTCGTCCTGTAAATTCTTCCACTCGGCGCAAATATTATTTCGACATCGTTTGGGGGACCTGTAGTAGGGACAGCGTGGTGAGTACCCTTCAACGGATTGTTTTGTTTCGTTTCAACGCTTTTGAGTGCAGTGTCGATATTCGCTTCGATCTGTACCTACCCCATGTACTTTGAATAAATGATTTCTTATATTCAAAGGTATGCTATTTATGAACAAATAGAGTACAATGTCATTTAACAAACATTTAATTGTTCCAATATTATTCTATACCTTACCCATTATCCTATAATTACCTTCTTATAGCTACCTATTTTTTATCCGTAATAAAAACACTTGTGAAAATTACAAATTATTTCTCGTATTCATCGTATCATAAAATATTTTGTTACAATTTACCTATAACACTGTTTCATAAAAGAAGATAAGGAAAAGTAGAAAGTAATGAAAGGATAACTAAATATTGTAAATCTCTAATGGAAAATTGATAAAATAATCTATGTTACAGAGATTAGCCACTCTGAAAGTATTGAGAGCTGAAAGGGGTAACTGCGATGGTGTTGAGTGATTTCTTTGTAGAGTCTTTACTGGAGTCTTGAATAAAATTTTATGAAGTACTAGATAAATTTATTTCTACCTATAAATCATTTTAATTCGTGTTTAACAATTTTTATACCTCGTGTACTGTTCAGGTAATTGTTACATTCAGGTAATTGCTTCATGAATTAAATTCGGTTCAATTTAACACGAAATTGTGGAAAGAAATTTATTCACAACTAGATTGTACTACACAGAAACCAGAGTAAATCCTCGATGAGTGTTTAAAAACTTCTCGGCACTGACAAGATGAGGTCCCTAATTTAGAACAGATGTGGAGCTGGAAATTCTGAAACCAATGATATTTGTTTCAGCCGCAAATGGCCATTAGTTTATGAAATATTTAATGTTCAGTGTTGAGGGGCCTCCGAACACTTATCGAGGATTCACGGTATTCGTTTTCAACTTGTATCAGAATTCCTATAAGAAAAAGGATAACTAAAAATTAAGGTTTGCTTTTTGGTCAAACTGACTTGAATAGTACATAAGGATTAAATAAAATTAGATAACTTTATTTTTTATTAAACAATATCATTTTATTTACTAAATAAGGTTAAACAGGTTTATTATCAATATTACTGCTTCTTGAAAAGTATAAACGGGTTTTAATTGAACATACAAGTGATGACCACTGTTAACAATTTCCATTCATAAAAATGCAACTAATTATACCAATCAGTAACAAATATTTCATATACACTAATCTAATAAATACAGAATGGTTTAGAAATACGTTTTATATTAAGGGGTTATGCCTACCTGCGAGCTCGAAAAAAGACATGTACTTTCGGAATTTATTTTTAAAAAACTTGAAGACTTTTTTAAACTTACGTCATTGTATTCGAAAGTGTACATTTTAAAGTGCGTATAGTAATTTCTTCAATGCAAAATATGAAGAAATAGGGGAAATATCAGCGATCTCCCGGCAGCGTTTTTATTTTAGGCGTTTTGCGGTGAGCATTGTCACTTCGAATTTGTTTATCTAAAATAAAAATTCGAGCAAATTTAGTTAATATATTAAATTATTTAGTGCCCGATCGTTCATTATCCTGAAAAATTAATTTACGACAAAATAGCGGCTGTTCAATATCGAAGTATCGACTTTCGCCAAAAAAATCGTTCATTCTTGATTTATAAAATAAAAACTGCGCAATGAAATACAAAAAGCCACGATCAGACACAAGATTTTTATGTATAGAATGAGTCCACCAAAGCTGAATCAGTTCGGTGCAGCGATTCTCGAGATATTTTGGTCACCGATTTGGAAAATGTGGTTTTGAGAAAAATACGTTTAAAGTTTCAAGTCAGGTTTACAACCGATCTCAATGCAAATTTTTTATATATAGTTATTCTTAGTATTTCGGCTTCATATAGCTTTGTGTATTTACTAACCAACCATCCATTGCATCGAGACACAGTATTCATGACTCACGCACCCCTAGAAAGGGATTCTACCACTTTATATCTACTCAGAAACTTCCAAGGCCGTATACTTTAAATGGGCGTAACTCCGCCAATTTTGGTCGGATCAACTTCAAACTTTCACTCAAGATTTCTAAAATGGTGTACTGTAAGAAAATATTAAAATCCAAAAATCGATTTTTTCAAAATTTATAGGTAGGCATAACCCCTTAAAAAGTAGGCTGGGGAAGCTCAGATGTAACAAAAAGCTGTCAAATTGTACCAACTTCCTATCTGCCTCCATTTTTCCAGTGATAAAACCTCAAGGTTAGACATACACATATCGGTGACACAAATAATATATTTTGTATAACTAATTTTCTGTTAATTATTTTTAAAGAGCCTCCGAACAGCAAGATTATTTATTATTTAAACGGTTACATATTTTTACAATTGAAGTGTCTCTGTTAAGAAAAATGTAAGGTAGAATAATTCTTCGCGACGCAGCATTTTAGTTTTCCTCGTTTGTCTTATGGTTAGAAACATCTACGGTTATTGTGCGATCTCAGAGATTCCCGGTATGCACGTTTGATGGTATCAAAGGAAACAAGAACCCATGAGGTATTCAGTCGACTTACGTCGGGAAATACGTTTTTTTTCTTTAAAGTTGAATTACATTGCGGTTTAGAGTTTGATGACCCACTGTGATGGAACTGATCGTGACTGCATTATGTATATAGCATACGGCACGGAAACTTTGTATATGACAGATATAGTTTCTCATAAAAATATTTTATTATTAGCATTACATTTTACTTTTTCAGTCCATATTTCAAATAAATGTACATTAATTACATATAATATATTCTGCTCAGAGTTGAGCGCAATTTTATTCGAATAACACATAATAAAAAGCTACAAAACTTCAGGGCGTCATCCTGACCTTTAAGCAGTGAATGAGATTAAATAATTGTTTGCCAAATGTCGACTAATTCAAGAAGAAGTATTATTTCATTATAAAAACTGGAAGATCCACGTTCAAACAATTAAAAATGATTTAGTACTTTTTTATCTTGCATTCGACAGTCGAAAATCTTCATCTAGAAATCTAGATAACGAATTCGCCCATCTATGATTCCGCTGTATTAGAGTATAGTTTCTAGCTGCTATTTGTACATGCATGTAATAAAAATATTACAACGATATTGAAAATAACAATACAAAGATATAATAAAGAATAAACAACACATAGAACACAGAAGTAGGTATATTGAAAAGTATAACGCTTTGATCGCTCAATGAATCGTTCCAACAAAGAAGAAATTATTGCATAGAGCAAGTCTAAAAGAAGCATGATTCTTTGAACTAGCTTCATTACTAGACTTCCTTTTTCTAGCTATACGTATATCACCTGGGGTGAACGTACCAATGAATAAACACTTATGAGCTTTTGTAACTATTAATGTCGATATTTAAGTGATAATAATATTAATAAATAGTTGCCACATGGAAATTAGATTTTTTAGCATGTATACATTTTTGTAACGTATAGATTTCAATTTGAAAAATTAGGAAAATGTAATTAATTAAATTAAAAAGAAAAAAATACAGATTTTATCAGTGAACAAACAATATTAAGTAAATGAATATTTCGAATCAATGGCGTGGAAATTTTTTAATATGACACAAGGAATTGAAAAAATCAATGTTTAGATCGATGCGACGTAAAACCCGTAATAATTTTAAAAAAATCAATGTTTAGTCATTTGCTTATTTTAATAACTTAATTCATTCGTTTTTATATATAATATTCATTCATTGGTACGTGTTCATTTCCTGGTGCATCCATCCTATACCAGTCCTGAAATCAAGTTATGGAACTTTTCAATTTCTTTTGGTGGTAGCGTTAACTTATTTTATCTAATTAACTTTTTATTTTCTCAGGATTCATGAAGTTAATTTGTATACTGTAGGCAACTTTACAAAATTTCAGATAACACTACACAAATTTCTGAATAAGTTGACCAGGTCATAACTAATTCATAATTTAATATGTTCACATCGTACAGTCTTAGACGAAATGAAACAGTATATATTATTTTATGAATTTAATTGTGGATTGTATGTTTTGTTCAATTGAAACACACAAGTTGCAAAAAAAATTCGAACGAAGAAAGAATTTGTCGAAGCTTATTCATTTCGAACTGCTTTCTTTACTGAGTAAGTACTCAATCACAAAAATGTCAATAACAGTGGGGTTTATAACTTTTTGGACACAGTAACTACGTGTTCTAATTTTCTTTTCAAAGAATCTTAGAAGTGCTCAACGAGATATTAATAGGGACTATATGGTAGAAACGATAATGTTTTCGAGACGTTATATGTATACCTCCTATAAAATGCATATTCTACTTCCAAAATATTTACGGTTCTATGGAATTTAAGAATTTTTTAACACATTCGCGTGTTTTTATGGTGCTGTCTGAAAAATTCATAGTTTTTTTAAGGGCAGACTTACAATTTATAATTTTCAATTTATGTCATACACGTATATACTACCTTTTTTACAATATCTTTACATTTTTCAATTAATTTTATTTTGTCAATCTGTTTCTAAATAGATTTTAATTTCGAAGTTTCTTCTTGATACAGGATATTTTAGTAATCTAAAGGAATAAACATCTGATAGGGAAAAGTAAAAAAATCAGTTGGATAGATATTACTTTTTCAAAGACTTGGTAGTACGTAAAGCCGCGTACACACCAAGAAACTCGCTTTGCTCATATTCAACTGAAATGCTGGCCTTACGTCCACACTGGAACAAATTCATTTCTGTTCGTAATTGATCCGAAGACTGCCCGCAAGCAGATTGTAAAATAATGAATACGAAGAAATTTGTTTGCGCAAGTGCTGCCTTTATTATGCTGAAGTTAAGAGCAAAAAATAAAAACAAAGAAAACAAGATAAACGATGATGGCAAACTTCACTGTTTAAAAACAGACAACGGTATAGTGGAAGCTATTTGTTAAGGGACTTCTAAGAAGAAGAAGAATATGAATTGTTCCGAAATTTCTACAACTTGTTGAACCAAAAATAATGAAATGATGACACAAACTATATAGGAAAGATATTCTACGATTCTTGGCTACAGTAAGCCTCTATGAGTTTAATAATGTTTTCATTACGCCACTCCACTTTTATTTCATACGGAATAGAACGTTCCCGGGCAGAGCAATCGAATGCAACAAATAACCGTCTACACCAGACGAGCGCGAACACGTCTTTCTTTTGATGTACCGATACGCTCAGCGGTACACACCAAACGAGCACTGAGTGAGAATGCTCGCTTGGTGAGTACGCGGCTTAATGGAAATGGACTTTGTGTTTGTTCACACGTTTCATCGGTATTTGTCACGGAAAACGAAGAAAAAAACAAACGAGTAACTTGCACAGCAAATACTATTCAGAGCTGAGCAGTTGACGTGCAGGACGGTACAGGGGCAGGAGGGGTCCTCCGCTTGTTCTGTGGAATATTAAATTAATTAGTAAATGGAAATTGGTTAATTACTTTGAACTTCGACGAATTACTCGCGGCGTCGCTCTATTTTATTCTATTGCGATGTGTTCCCGTCGCTTCCTTCGTCTCGCGGTGCTATATGATCCAATTGTGTGTGTTACCGTTTCAGCCAATAATGGAAATACGTGTTCTTTATCTCTGGATGGTAATAGTACATTCAATCCACGCCTGGGAAATAGTATCTGTTCACCATGTTAAACGACTTTTCCTTTGCCCGGTAAAAGGATAACAAAGTCACTATGCCCGAAACGCTACGAAATTTCCGAACGACCCAATATTATACGTCTATATTCCATGTTGTACTTTTATTTATTCAAGTCATATTAACACATTACTTACCGACTGCTGTTTAATAGCTTTAGTAGATCCAACAATCAACAGTCAAGGAACTATTATTAAACAATTCAATCATAGTAGCAAATTACAGTCATGAAAAATAGCAAGAACTCAAATAGAATAATAACGTGGCAATTTTGTCTTTAACCCGGATCTAAGGTAACTTCATAGGCTGCTTATCTATAAGCACTGAAATTTAAAAATCTATTAATAGGCTAACGGTCAGTAAAGTGGTAATTCGAAATTTCATTGCGTGCAGAAGAGTATTTTTATTTCATTTGTTTCAATGTTAACTATTGATCCATTTCTCAGAAATTAAACAAAATCTAATAGTTTGTACCATTCGGATGAAGAACTGTCAAGATAGGGGACGGTTGCCGAATTTAGACTACCGCCTAGGTTGAACCTTTTCATATGTCAGCAATAGTGATGATTGCATTAACTAACTTAGTATACATATAAGTAACGCATATAGTCTATCATAACTAAATTACAGTTAGTGGTCCAATTTAGACTATGGTCCAAATGCAGCAACTATATATCTACGTTGTTGAAGCTATAAAAGTAATTTGACCAGTATTTCATGCACTTCTCCCTTAACCCTGATCCGTCCATCATTTTTCCAACTGAATTTATCCCTCGGTATCAAATTGACACAGTGGTAAAAAATGAATACAATGAAAATATAATGAGAATATAAAAGTTACGGAGCTCGGCTAAATTTACTTACACATGACACAGTAATATCGCTCCATACGAGAAAAATGTGTCAAATTGACAAAAGAGATGGATGAGGGTTAAGTCGCGTGATTCCTTTGCGCGCCACATCCCAAATAGCACAAAAATGTCCTATGTACGTCCGATGAACATACGGAGGATGTCCCGAAAAGGTCTACATGTCACCGTTAGGTCCTCGTTAATATCTTTAAATGTCCAAAGAAGGTTCTATTTACAAAGTGGAACGTCCTGAGGACGTTCTGTGTCAACACTCTCAGAACGTTTCCCGAATGTGTAAAAGTAACATTCCCTGTACGTTTTGGGAACGCTTAAAGAGATTTTAAAAACGCTATGGTAATGTCTTAAAAAACGTATAAGAAACGTTTCCCAAATGTTTAAAATTGCTGTTAGGTTTCATTCTGTGCAAGGTGACAGGAATTAGGTTACGTTAGTTTATGTTTAACAAATAAAAGATTAACTTTCCTGCGATTTCCGCACTTAGTAGAAATTAGATCTACATAGTTAGTTCCTGTTAATAAATAAAAGGTTAAATTCCCTGTAGGGAATTGTAATGAAAATATAGGTCATGGGATTATGATCTCCAAGTACATTGTGTTTATTTCTATTTTCACAGCAAAACTCTTAGAGACAGTTTAAGAAAAACCATGCTTTTTCAACTTTCTTGAGGTTTTCGCACAAAACCACTAGCGTCGTTAAACTTCTCTATTGATTCTATAAAGACTGACACCTTGTTCATGGGGTTCCATCACCTTGCACGGAATGACAGTGGCAAAAATACTAAACGAAACCATCCAAAATTTAAGTCTTGAGAACATCCGTAGGACTTATGGGACGGACGTTTCTAGAACATCTGAAATTTAAGTCTTATGAACGTCCTAGGAATGTCCAAGATGGACGTAGACATTCGGATATAAACTGGACATGAAACGGACGTCCTTAGGATGTACGGTGCTATCTGGGATGTAACGACCACGACACCCCTTCCACACGCAATCGCTACAACTTTCAATCCTAAAATAACTCATTCAAAATATCAGGTTCATGAAAAGTTCGTTTCATAAGGAAGACGTTAAACTGCTTCCTTCCTCTTCGGTCTGTACAGGAGACGGCGTGGCGTGGTTTCTCTCATACAAATGAAGCGGTCAAGTCGTATGCGGCTGAGGCATATCGTTGTGGCGGGGAAATACGTCGGAACGCTCCTTTTACTTTATCCTCGCTGGTTCTCTTTGTACGCTGATGGCGAATCTTTCATGCACACGAGGCTCCCAAGTGGTGGTACCGCACGGGGATAACCCCCCACTACCGTGGATCTTGCGTCGCGTAGAAGCAACCGTGCCTCGGGTACCATCGTGGAGAATATTGGGCTGCTTCTCGTACAGATCGGTTGAAAGATCAGATTTCTATTAATTCAGCCAACTCTAAAGACATATCACTCTGGATTGGGCTGACAAAATAATTAAACGCGAGACGAAACGAACAACAAAAGGACCGATTCATCACCGATCTCTGAATCATCTTCAGCTCCTCCTACCGGTGGTGTCTGCGCGGTTTCTGCGAGACAAGTCGTGAATAACAACTGGAAGACTTGGTGTTTCTACGGCAGAATCTTCGATCAGAACACTCTTTTATCGTTTATTTCAATGCGGTTTTATTCAGACGGAATTAATTACGAGTTCTGCTTGTGGGCATTGTTACAGTGATTGATTCCTGTGTGAAATATGGACTCATCGGGCAATTAAGTGTGATCAAAACTTTCCTCCGATATGTCAATACACTGTGAACGTATGATTTAATGTGTTTAGTGTTTAGTCATATTGATGGAACTTGAAAGTGTAATTAATATAAATATATTGTTCAGTGGTAATGTTTGTGATAGATGAAATCTGGTGAATATTGACATTGGGCTAAGAAATCAAAAATAATGGTGAAGCTCCCCGAATAGCGCGTGATTAATCAGTTGTCGAACATTGGAAATTAAATCTCGTTGTGTCTTAAGACCGGCAGAAAGTAATTCCGTACGATTTCGTATTGGAAACGATGAGTTTTTCTTTAAATACGATAATTGCGCGTGGAAGTGTTGCACTCGGTCGTTGACTGAGGTTATCACGTTAAGGTAAACGTTACGCAATTCCAGATGATTCTTGAAGCTTTTCCAAGTTTGTATCATGATTTATCGTCGTTCGATTCCACCAAGTTTTACAAATGATTGGAGTTTTTGGCGATATGAGAACGAAGAAACTACATGCCCCATTTTTTCCCTATCACTGAAAGGTCGAATCGTACGGTGTAATTTGTTTATCTGAGTTTTGTGTAACAATTTTTCGATTTCACTGGTGCGTGATTTATTCGGAGAGGTTCGATAAATATGTTTCTATAAACTGTTGAACGATACTTTTTGCACTGAATCTTAATCGGAGAATCGTTGACGCGTGTCGCAGAGGTCCAGGATGCTCGGTGTCGTTATCAAGACCGTGCTGTTGGTGTATTCCCTTCAGCTGTTCGTCGACGCGACCGATCAAACGTTCTGTATACCAGATTACTTCCGATACGTGAAAAATGTACAGTTGGGAATCAGCGGTCGAATCGAGATACCATCGCCGCCGGAGGGTGTACCTTTACAAATCAGCACTAAATTGAGCATTGCTGTTGTATTGCCCACGGTAAGCAAAACGATACGAAATTCGTACAATTTACAATTGAATTGCTCGTAGAAAAATTCTAGACAACGAAACTTTATGCGGAATAATATTTTCTTGAAACGATTTTTAAAGCCTAATGTAAAGTTTGAATTTTCTTCAATTTCTTAAAGATTCTATTATGTCATGAGTAAGACTGAAAATGTATGTGTAGGCTATAATAGGTACATACTACATAGTGGTCCATCTACATTAGTTTTGTTGGGTCAATGCAATAGTTTCAATGGATCCTCTGCAGACGATATGATCGTCATGATTTCATCGAAATAATAAACAATTCTATTAATAAGTTACATTAATATATTATTTTTCGATGTCAACGGAGGTAATACAGTGAACTATTGTTTCACACAAAAATTGACATTAAACATTGAAAAGGGCATTACATTTTTCAAAAGAAATCAAGCGTTTCTTATAATAAAGACCATCGTTCAGATATCCAAAAGTAAAACATAAAATGAAAGTTAACCATTTCTTTGTCGGACGAGAAAACACTTGTAAGCGTCAGTTGTCTTTTAGTATAGAACTTGAACAAATCGTGTTTTCCTCCTGTACAATCGAATTTAATAATACTTTCCAGGTAGAAATCTGGAACTTTCCACCTTACAGGGTCCCATGAGTCTCTTGCGCGTGTTCCCATAAGTTCATCTGTGTTCACTGTCCCAGTGGTGCAGAGTCTACGCTGCAAACTAGTATTCAATTCCTTAGTGTATTGTGCACACATTGTGAAGTAGAAAATTCCGTGTTTCGACATCAATGGGATTTTACACTCTATTTTCCATTTTTTCGAAGCAGTATATATATATATGTATATTATAATTACAATCGTAAAGCGGCGGAAAGTTACAGACTTTCTACCGTCACCTATTAGTACATTATTGGTTCATTTCTTATCTATACATATACAAAAGGTTTAGGCGACACACTCATCAACGCTCGGCTCAAACCGCTCTACCTAAAAACGTGAAATATTGAACAACTTTTTGAAACACGGACCCTAAAGGGCTAAATAGGAGGTCAAATTTTTGTAAAAGAATACCAATATCCCACGAGTCACTAAAGTTGCAAATGTGAAGGTCGGCACATTAACTCCCAGGTAAAAATAAACAAACACTTGTTTGAGTATTTTTCGAAATTTAACCCTTATAAGGGGTGAAAAGAGGATAAGTTGCTTTCTCGTAGGATAACTGTATCTCTAAATCCACTAAAGCTGGTGATATGAAATTTAGAGAATAGTTTCTTAAAAGTTCAAAAGATGTAAAAATAATACATATTAGAAGCTAACGCGGGCATAGATACATATACATACATACATATATGTATGTGTATTCGTAATATAGTGTCAAAAGTATAAGATAAATCAGCGACGGAAAATATAGAATAATATACACGAAGATCACAAATAGTATTTTCCGTTACACATGCAACAAATATTTTAGAATTGTTTATTTTTCGACTGATTTATGTACGTGATAATTAAATTACAGATGTAAATAAAAATCAAAATATAACTGCGAAATTAGATTATTGCAGACTAATTTACACGAATCAGAATGAAATATATTTTGCAGTTGGGAAATTTTTCAACGGTCATGTTAGTTAAAAATAAAATAAAACATGTATTAAATATTATCAAAATTTTTACTTCAATGCGTTTTACCTGGTTGCATACAGAAGTGCATAAACGCATAAAATCCACAATCAACTGATAATAGCCATTACGCTTTTATTATGTATCCTGCATAATCGGAATCCGGTTTCATGTTCTCATGAAAACAGTTTTCTGTAGAATATTTTACGTTTATGTTGTGTATACATTACAATTGTATTGTATTATTTTAATATTGTACCATCTTTAAATGGGACAATATATTTTTTTAACTGGTATTATGTAGTACGGTTTGAAAACTTCTGTTTTACGCATTCCCTATAATGTGTGTAAAGTATCTAATATATACAGTGGCGAACAAAAGTATTGGCACAGGAGGTATTTCTGTACATAATGTTAAATAAATATGAAATGAACGCAATTTCTTGTTTAATCCTTTTTTCAAATATAAGTCTGGACTCCGAAGTTCAAATATATTACAAGTCACGAAAGTTAAATAGACCTATAACAAAGAAAAAAAATAAAAACCATATCATGGCTCGTTTGCAGCGGAACAAAAGTATTGGCACACATAAAACTTTCATGTTTCTAGGGAATTTTCAAATAAATATTTCGAATGTTTGTACGACTGTCATGCCCGCGAATGTTTCACGATTCAGTTTGATGTTCATTTATCATAAATTGTGGCCAGTATTGTTGTAAAACAAAAACGCACAAAAATGGGTCGCAAATCGCAGGAGACAACAATTTCTGAAAGGAAAATAATATTGAATTTATCAAAAGAAGGAAAGTCTTACTCAGCTATTGCAAAAATAGTAAATAGAAGTCGTTTTACGATAAGAAGTGTCGTTAAACGATTTTCTAACACGGAAAATTTAAGAAATTCTGATAGAAGTGGCCGGCCACAAAAATTGACCGTTAGAGAGAAGAGAAAAATTATTAACACAATAAAGAAAAATCCTACTACTACCTCTTTAGAAGTAACAGCACAATTAGAAAATGAAACTAATGTAAAAGTTCATCCGATAACTATCCGTAGAACTCTTAGAGCTGCCGGATATAATTCAAGAATCGCAAGAAAGAAACCGCTCATTAGTAAGACGAACAGAATAAAAAGATTAGAATTTTCAAAAATGTATGTAAATAAAGATTTAAACTTTTGGGACAAAATTTTATTTTCGGATGAAAGCAAATTTAATATTTATCAATCGGATGGGCAAGTTAAAGTATGGCGGCAATGTAACACAGAATTAAATGAAAGGAACACCAGTAAAACGGTCAAACATGGGGGTGGCGGTCTGCTAGTATGGGGGTGCATGAGCTCTGCTGGCCTATGAGAGCTTGTGTTTATTGATACTATAATGGATAAATATGTTTATTTAAACATTTTAAAACAAAATCTTAAAAAAAGCGTGAATAAATTATATCTCGGAAACGACTATTACTTCCAACAAGATCATGACCCTAAGCACACCGCCTATATTGTTCGACAATGGATAGTTTTCAGCACACCTCATACGTTACCCACTCCACCACAGTCACCGGATTTAAATCCTATCGAGCATATTTGGAACGAATTAGCTCGAAGATTAAAAAAACACCATATTGTGAATAAACAACAGTTAAAACAAGCAATTTTAGAAGAATGGCATAAAATAGGGTCAAAGATAACGAACAAATTAGTGAATTCAATGCCTAATCGATTAAAAGAAGTTATTAGAAGAAAAGGTGTAAATACCAAATATTAGATCTTACAATATAATAAATTATATGAAAAAAACGTAGGTGTGCCAATACTTTTGTTCCGCTGAAAACGAGGCACGATGTGGTTTTTATTTTTTTTCTTTGTTACAGGTCTATTTAATTTTTATGACTTGTAATATATTTGAACTTCGGACTCCAGATTTATATGTGAAAAAAGGATTAAACAAGAAACTGCGTTCTTTTCATATTTATTTAACATTATGTATAGAAATACCTCCTGTGCCAATACTTTTGTTCGCCACTGTATGTATACAGTGGTTGTGTGACACATTAAAATTGGTTAAATGTCGTCGTTATTTGATGTACATACTATCACAGATATGTCAAGGCAATTAATGAAATGTTCTTAACTCTTAGATAATGTAATACAATAATAGTTGAAGTAAACGTCAAATTATGGGTTCACGAAAGTTTATAAATAAGCACTAAAAAATACATCAATTACAATTCGAATTGTGAGTAAAATGAAATTATTATAAACGTTTTATGTGTTAATTACAGTACTCCGTTTATATTTAACAAACGTTATTAATTATATTTTACGTTACTTCCATTCGAATATTTATTATTTTCAAAAGAAGTACATTTTGTAAAATCATAAGGTGCAACTTAAAGGAGCGTATCCCAAGTGTCCGTCTTCGATTGCTTTGGTTTTCGGATATTTTAGAGGACCAAAAATCGGCCCGTTTTCACATTTCGGGGGTGAAACCACCCATCAAAGTTTCGACCCGGAAGTACTATCTAAAAAACCGAAGAAGAACTTACTACACGAAAACTTTCAATGGGCGAGTCTCATGGTTTTTTATGTAGGTACTATAATATACTGCTAACAAATGATCAAAAATACAATTTGTTTATAACCAAAAAATGTTTCATATCTTTATTTTAAAATTTATTGAAATTTATATAATGACAAAAAGTGACGAGCATTTCATTCCAATCCATTGATATATCTGTTTTCGAAATTGCCTTCTACAGTCTCGCAGTTTTGTATTATTTATATATCCCGTACGCACGTCCGTTGTTTCAGCTTCCGATTAGTTTGGTTCTTGGAGAATATATTATCCAAGGTTTTACGGTTTATATTTATCACAAAAGTGATATTCATGAAAAAAACGTTTTAAGCAAAATGCTTTTTTCGACCAAGAGCAAACTATAGATGTTTCATCACAGAGTGCACATTTCATTTCTGTATTTTCTGTTCGAAAGTAAAATCTACTTATTAACAAGTTAATTATATAATTGTAGATGTTGTAAGTGTTAAGCTACAATTTCCAATTTTCAATCTTGCATAAACTAATACCAAATGACGATATAAAATTAGGTTGATGCAATCTTTTCATAATGTGCCAAAAGATTAGACTTTCATCAATTAAGATGATTTGTAGTAGATTGCATTGCTGTTCCATGTGTGTAAACTACACATGTACAAACCAACTGTAACACTGCAGATATGCGAGATTGTGATCGGCCATTCATATTTTACTGACCGGATAAATTGTCTCAAGTGGTACGACTTCAATAACTCTCGTCTATGTTAAATATAATTATGGAATACCTGTCACAGTTGACAAGTATTAACATAATTGAAGTGACATAATATTAATTTGACGAAAAAATAAGAAAGACATGTAAGAAATTAAGCATTTATGGGCTAGTTTCTAAGAGGACCAGCGTGAAATTAGTTCAGCAGTATTTAAAAAATTTACGATTCACCCATTACATGCCAAGCAGTCAAAACGGTCGATTTTTACACACATAATTATTTATTACTTGTAAAAGAGTATAAGAAAGAATATAAATGCTATCAACAAATTTTTGAATCGGTACTTTTTATATACAAAATGTTGCGTTTATGCAACTTTGGGCAGTTTTTCTTATTGAAAACTGTAAATAAAATAACTTATACAGGCTGTCATGTAACTAGTAGTACAACCGGGCATGGGGTGTTTCTACGTTAAAGAATAAATTGAAAATATATAATAAAATTTTTTCATTTCAGACTTTGTTTTCGAAAAAATCGATTCTGAATATCTGCTGGATACGCGTGCAATTGAATGACACGTGGCTTGGACGTTTGTTCATTGCATCTGTTTCTACTTACTCTCACGACAAATACATGCGTTTCAGATGAATTTTCAAAGTCGATATTCTCGACAACGATGTCTCAAATAAAAAAATGAATTCTATATTTCCGACTTATTTTTTTACGTAGACTCACCCCCCAACTGATTGTATCACCAGTTACATGTCACCCTGTGTACTACACGAAAGAAGTTAAAGTAAATTATTCGTAATTAACTGGCCGTTAATATGTACGGTAAACTTCTCTAACATACTGACCACGCCATTCTAAGCCAGAAAGATTAAATACACAATTGGTCTATGTCAACTTGTTAGAAAATGATAACAGAAGTAAAATATTGTAGGCATATTTCTATGACGGAAATTTATTCAAGTATGAAGTTATCGTGTACATTTTATTTATAAATGTTGATCAATTTCTTGGCGTTATGTAACAGGTTATTCTAAAGTAACTCGAAAAGATCATACTTATTTCATATAACACTAAATTCTTCACAACTGCACAAATTTCGACGAGTTTTGTTTGAAGAATATTAAATAAAATTATTAAAGATAAATTATGGAAATTGTTTCTTGTAAAAGAGTGCCTGTAGTGATTTTTATTTTTGTTACAACTTTTTTATTCGACTGAAAATTACTTGTAAACTATGATAGAGCACATTGTCGGTTTCATCGCGGAACACACTGAACAATTTGCAGTAAACTCTGTTTAATGTTGAATTTCAGAAATACGTCGGTCGATTAGAATTGGCACAGTCGAAAGAACAATCGATTAAAGCGATCCAACAGGGCAGGCCCCTGAAGTACAATATTCATTTTCCTCTTCCTCAACCGATACCGAGCGTAACCGGAATTTGGTTCAACAATGTACTAATGTGTACTGGTCCACGTGGTATGTATACCTCTTTTAAGAACGAAAACAATTATTCGTGCGTCGTCGTAATCAAGAATTCCAATTGTCAAAAATTATACAAAAATATCAATCTTTGTGTTGCGCGAAACTCTCTGGATGATCGAATAGTGCAATTACGGAAAAATTCCATAGATAAAAGCGATCGATTTGGCGTCAAATGACTTGCAACAATAAGAAAGTGGACTACTTCGGTCCATAAATTATCAATGTTGAATTGTTCATTTGTCTGATTTCAGCAACCGGGCAGATTGTTACCTCTATCATTCTGAACCACACGCTGTATCCACCCGGCATGTTGGCCGTTTCTCTGGATGATAGGAATATAATATCGAACTTACCAAATATAGTTGACACGCCGTTGCAATATGATGACTTTCAACCAACACAAACACCAACACCTACTCGGCCTAATCTACCTGTACGACCATTCCCACCTGTTCGACCGATTCCAACGGTTCAACCGACTCCATCGGATCAACCTACTTCATCTGTTGAGTCTGAATCACGTGTTCAACCTAATCCGTCTGTGATCGATTATCAAATCACTCAACAGTGCGGTCGCAGCAACAGCACGAAAATTAATCGTCTGATAGCAGGGGGTGTGAAATCGAGCTCAGGTCAGTGGCCCTGGCTGGTTGCGATTTACATTATCGAGTACAAATACAAGTTGCAGTGTGCAGGATCGCTCGTGACGAACACTCATATCATTACAGGTACGACAAAATTTTCGTAGGCTATATAATTAGTTTGTCGTCAGGGTACGAATGCAAGTTTCTGGTAACCTTTGCTTTTCGAACCTACCTACATTTGAATCATGAAACGTAGAGTTGGTAGATAAGATATGGTGAGTCTGTATTTGTTTGGAGGTGGACACAGAAGTATATTTCACATCTTATTAGATAACAGATCAAACTTAAATTACACTCACAAGAGACATCACCCAATTGATACGCACAGAAATTAATCAAATTTTGCACATAAGCAAAGACCCCGAGAATTTTAATATCAATGTATACAGTTCATGATTTATACGATCCGTTGCATCGGAAAAGCTGATGTCCGATTTCAGAACACCCATCTGGAGAGAAACACTATAAATACCGTCGAATCGAAGGGGTTATAGTATAAGAGAAGAACATTTTTGATTGCACGTGGTTAACACGATTCTGCGTTTGATTTTTGTTTTTCAGCCGCACATTGCTTCTATCAATCTGACCAGACAGCGATACCGGCAGGCGCGATGGCGGTGGCGCTGGGACGTTACCAACTTCTAAATTTTCACGAGAAGGGTTCAGTGAACGCCGACGTGGCCGAATACAGGATTCACCCTGATTATAAAAGTCAGGTCACGTCGGAGTCGACGATCAGCGCAGACTCGGATCTGGCCGTTCTGGTTCTGCGGGAGAGAGTGGAATACAGCGGGCTAATTAAACCGATTTGCCTTTGGTCAGGGCCTATAGACTTGAGTTACGTTGTGGGAAAGGTGGGGACCGTGGTGGGTTGGGGACGCGACGAGAACGGGAACCAGTACCTTCAGGAACCTCGGATGATCAATGCTCGAATCGCAAGTCAGGTGAAACCATTTTTATTTACTTGTTGATGTTTTATTTTTGTCCAAAGATATGCACTAAATTCGGGAGGGTCATAGTTGATATGCGGATTTTGTCATCTTTCTATTTAGAGGTGTTTAGTGGTGGAGATTGATAGGCAAAGTGACGTTTCCTTGTGTTTACGCATCCTGTGATTCTTTCGAAGAAATTCACTCGTGTTGCCGTTGAACTCTTGCACGATAGTGCCAAGTCACGCCGAATTTTTAGAATTGTGTTTCATGTAAATGTAACGAAATACAGTGGATTCGTTAAGGTGATTGTACCTTGTCGAAGGTTTAGGTAATCGATTTTTTCTTATAATGTCTTAAAAATGTGTGCTCTTCTTTTTCAAATATTCAAAGATCCCAAGGAGTCGTTGGTAGAATTAACGAATCCTTCTCTAGGCAGACTTTTTTCGGTGCTGATGACACCACCCATCGTGCCTGATCTGGGGGTGAACACCGCTGCCAGGAGTACCACTAAGAAAAGTGTAGTGGGCTCGGTAATCACTGTCAAGCATAGGATCCAGAACGCTAGAAGCGCCACGTGTGCAACAAAATGTGTAGTAGCAAAGTCATTTCGAGGGTCAAGACTCCAAAGTTTGTTTATTGATAGCTGAGAAAGAATAGCAAATTTCACTTGTCCACAACGTACCTAAGTCTGGTCTTCAAATACGTTAACACCTTGATTAAACAAAAGAGGATCCATGCAAGAAGAATGGCGGTGCAATGCCAGGGCAGCTAAACGAAAAGTATGAACTGAAAGGAACAGCTCCACACCACTCGCAGATTAACTCTGGACCTCTCACCTTTAACAACCGCATTTATAGAGTAATGATTGTACAGGATGTCCCACTATTTACTGATCTTGTTAGCCCACCGAGCACGGTCCCTGGGTCACGCGTTCGCGAGAGCGACATGCACACAGTGACAGAGTCAGGAGGGGGGACACGCGGTCTCGAGAGCGACACGCACGCAGTGACGGAGCTGTTGTGTAAATCGCATAGCGACCGATGTTTGTTTACATGCGAACGACCGGGCGAAGACACCGCAGAAGTATTGACTAATAAATATAATTTGTTTTATAATTCACGAGATTTTTATTCTAGTTAGTGTAATAAGAACCACGAAAATCTAAATGTAATGTGGAACCAGCTAATCATTACATTGTATACATGGTGACGGTGGCTCGAGCTCGAGCAACCGCCACTGCGTAGTAATATCGGTGAGGGTCTCGAGCTCGAGCCATACTGGCACTGTGTTAGTACAGTGTCGGTGAGGGCCTCGAGCTCGAGTCTCGCCGTCGCTGTGTAGTAGTAGAATATCGGTGTGGGGTCAGAAATGACATAGGGACGGTGACAATGTTTCCGTGCTCGGAAGGTTAAAAGAGCCGATTAATCACGTAACACGAACAAACTTATTCTATAAGGATGGTGTCAAAAACAAATATATAATGAGATAAACATAACGGATAAATATTTGTAAACACCGGAATTATTGTTTCTTTTAATGGTGAACATGGTATTGTTTAACAAATGTTAAAGTTCCTTAAAACTTACTTTGTAATAGGTACAAGACACGTTCATGTCAAAACTGGAATTTAATTCTTAGACAGGTATAGAGACAGAATTATGAGCAGTGAAGAGCAATTGTTCTTCAACATGTAAAATTTGTCATAGGGATTTCTTTTATTTAATTAATGATGCGTTCTAGAATTTAAAAAATTCTAATGTAATGATCTATGAATATAATTTTCAAAATATAATGAGAGAACAGCGTAACAGTTCGCACGATTTTCTAGAGTAATAAAAGTTTGTATAAAATTTTATTTTTGCCCTAAATAAAGGTTCTTACATTTTTCATTACATTATCCTAAATGCTTAAAAATATTATTCAAAAAGTTATGAACATCAGGTACATGTAGCAATTTACAAGATCTGAATATGATACTGTATAGCACAATAATTGTATTAAAAAGAGCTTTAGAGATTATGTTTCCAGTGACATTTATGACATAACAGAACTCGAAAGATATTTTGAAATGAGAAAATAGAACAGTCTAATGTCTAAAGTCATTCAAATTAAGCGCTAACATTACTCAAGTCATGAGTGTATGTAATAGAATGTTTATTTTAAAAATTTTCTTTAAATATTTCACATCTCTTCACGTTCGCTTTGTGGTTCTGTGATCGATGCAAAAAAATAAACTCTGAAAGGCTGAAAACTTGTCGGAGCGAGATTTAATGAATAGGGTGAATGATTATCAAGTGTAACCGGTTTCTTTGTTGTTTCCTCTTCAGTCGAAACGATGAATGTGGAAGTTGTTGACCAGTAAAATCTTTTACGTCCTAATTAACTTGTATGGATGCGGAAAATTTTAGGATCCCTTAAATGAACCTTCTGCGTAACGTATTATTCATTTAACACATTCTTTGCTATTACATAACATCTAATAAAGCCAATTTGATTAAATCAATTAGCAGTATTGTGTTTGTTGGTAAAATATATTTATACACTAGACGTATGGAAGTTAATTACAGAATAATATTTTAATTGGTACTAAACAGTAAACAATATTTGAGCAATATTTATAAGAATAGTTTCGATTTTTATTGAACTGTATATTTGCATCTAAAACTAATGTATAACATAATGAGAGATAAATATTCTCTGAAAAGTCTATATCGTAAAAACATAAAAATAACTGACGATTTGTAAAGTAGACAAAGCTTACTATATGTCGTACAACTTACATTAGAATCAGTGACCTGAAGTTGGAGCCCTTTCCGTCTAAAATGTTTCGAAATTAATTGTCGTTTCAATAATTTGTAGGAAACTTGTCTTCGAAGCCAGAGCAAGTTCGTGGACATAACCTCGAGTCGAACGTTCTGCGCCGGCATGAGGGACGGAAATGGACCGTGCAATGGTGACAGCGGAAGTGCTTTCATGCTATATGATTCGGAGACAGATCGGTTTTACATCCGAGGTGTCATCTCATTGTCTCTGTTGGACAAAAGCATCATGTCCTGTGACCTCAGACAGTTCGTCGTTTACGTGGACGTCGCGAAATACTTGGACTGGATATACGAGCAAATTTCTACGTAGACATATGAATTATGCATTCGTTTGCAACTGTAAATATTATAGTCTACTAGTTTTCGCACATAAGTACCTTTAACTGTACAGAAGTCATCGAATATCAAACTCAATTGCCGAACAATCGATCCATGACATTTTTTTATTTGTTTTTCGATTCAATTTTAATGTACACGTTTTGTCCTAAATGTTTCTGACATGAAGTTACAACACCAATTGTTCGTATGTTATGCACACCTTTTATCATGAATTATTAAAAGTATAGTTTCCATCTGGTGTGATATATTTTTCATGATAATTATACAAACACTGCAAATAGCTGTGGTATTTCTTCTTAAAAATGATTTTAGCTTGACGTTTCTTTGTCTTCGTTTTCAATTGGGATAATAGTAATAAGTTTGGGACAGCTGAATTAAACGAATACGATAATGAAACTGTGAGATAGTTTTTGAAAGCAAAATATTGTATAAACACATGACTCACGAAGCCGAAAGTTTCGACCATTGTGTTTCTACCATTTTGAAGAGATCAGAGCCATTTAGAAAGTTTCTGTAATTATTGTGAACAGTGTATCTTTTTAAAATAAAACTGTTTTTAATATTTGATGATAAAGAGCATCATCATCTTACGGAAAACTGCTGCGTCAGTTTCAATTTGAAAACTTTTGGGACAGACCGTGCAAATGTACTTTAATGACTTACAATTAGACTATATTAGACCTTACTTGTGACATTACGAATAACTTTCTTCTGACCGATATAAATTCAAATTTTACAGACATGTGATTGATAGAAAATTAGTTGTTTATGGAAACGCACGGGGGAATTACCTCTTCTTATTATTTAGTACCCTTTTTGTAAGACGAGAATGTAAATTATTTAAAATGCAATGTAAAACATAATATTTAGGAAGCTTCTTGTTAAGCGTGAAAATGTGCTAGAAAAGATATTACTTGATACATAAAACTACAATAATGAAAAAATTATATCAACTGGTTGAAATAACATAATATACAATATAATGTAGACTTCTAAACACGTTCCACATATTCTTTTTTGCTATCATAAGTGCAGTAATTTGGTATGCACAAGGAGATTAAAAAATTATAAATTTTTGTCACAGAAACAGTTACTGTTGTAAGAACAGAAAAATCAAACTGAACCGTTTATTTCAATCAATGTACCAACGTACAATTTGTCGAATACTGCTATTATTAATAAATAACATTAAAGAGCACTCTATACTAGTCTCTTGCTTCTTGTAGTGAATTCACAAGTAAACCGTGTGTCTCAAACAGAGAGACGATGTGAACTGGTGCCAACATTAGTCTCGACATTTATAATTATATTATACTTTCGCCCATTACATTTTCATTATTTCCATAGCCATACCATGTACTGAAGATACAGTGGTGCGACTAATGAAAGTATACAGGGAGCACCCGAATATAGTTAAGTGATACACATACGCCTAACAAGAATCTTCAATGTTCACATTGGACAGCGCTAATATTATAGCTATACCAATTATTAAACCACGGTTTTTTGGCCAGATTGAATATTTGTCTCTAAGAAAAACGAAAACATGTACTGGTTTAATAATACTTAGCCACGTATTACAAATTCGTCCCAATTTTTAAAAATCGAGCAAGACTGACAATGTTCTGAATTTAAACTGTCTTAGCAGTTTATTGATAAAAATATCAATCAAGAACAAAAAAATTAAATACACTGTTGAATAATTCATTGATAGGTGAAAACAAAATTTAAACAACGATACAAATAATCCCATTGTATAGAAATAGCGTCATACGATGTCTTAATTAATAATAACTAAAATATTTATGTTAATAGCACATCCAGGAGGCTACATACTGTACTGGGAAATTCATAAAGTGCAGTATTAAGGAGTTGTATATGCTTGCAGCAGTAATTTTTTATGTTCATATTACATCGTTTTTACATAAAAGCTTATTATTGTCTTGACTTGGTGTAATGTATATTTTCGCGATGAAACCGACTATTATTGCAAAATGCATGTTTTTTCATTCACATTGTATTTGGTTCTGTTAGCACTGTGAATTAACGCAACTGCTACCTTGCACGTTCTTTGAAACATTGGAATAGTGGATATACACTGAAAAGTTTCCAGACTGAAATTAAAACAGCAATTTTTCATGTGTTATTGATACTTTATATTTCTGGTTACTATATCCGGTGAACAATATTGATTACATATCACAATTATACAAACTCTGGTGATGGCTTCTCCTGATACTTCTGCTTTAAGATGGCGCAAAGTGCGGCGTTTGGAATCCTTTGAATGTCCAAATTGTACCGGTCTATTTTTGTTTAATTTTTCCCTTCAATTTAGGAAAGATGAAGTAGTCTCAGAAGCTATATCAAGGAAATTAAGGCGGAAAACATAGTATAACGAAACCTTTTGAGGCTAAAATATTTTGAACACTAATAACTACATAGACTGCGGAATTTATGCATTTATAGCCTATACGTCTCTGTGAAATACAATGAAGGACAAAACTTTCGTCAGATTTAACGAGTTTTCTATTATCTTTTGAATCCAATAAGATACTTATGGGCAGAAAGAAGTTCCTACTTTTGTTTTTCTCTTTATGAGCAACTTTCTAAAATGTAATTTTGCATAAAAATCTATCATTCTATTACTAACACTCGACGTTGCGTCGTGGCCGAGTGGCCCCGAGTGGTGTAAAAAAAAGAATACAGATGTTGTAAGAATAATGCGGAGAGAAACGCAACCGCCAAAACACTTTCCTTATGCAGCTTTTCCTTCCAAAAAAGTATTGACCATGAAAGAGTGGGGATCGACCTACTATTAGTGATAGATAGTCGAGCCGAGGAGCTCGAGCTGTATCGGAAACTTTCGATTCACCAGCTCGGCTCGGCTGGTCAAGTGGACCGAAATGACAGTTTTATGAGGTGACAGCGGAGACACGAGGCTCTGACACGCGAAACCTCGGCGCGTACAGTTATCTTATAATAACATCTCGCCTCGCTGAGGCCCGTCGCCAGCGTTTCTTAGGGTGGAACGATGATGTCAACCGGTATCGATACGGCTCCAGCCGAGCCGAGCTTCCCCCTCCAAAGCTCGGCTCGGCTTGAGCCGTATCGATTACCCATCAGTACCTACTATGCCACATCGATCCTAACGAGGGAGGATCAGTTCAACATTTTCAGTTGTCTGTTCCAAACGGAGCCCCTTGCATTCTTCGAGCAAATAGAGTTCATCCTCGGAGAACTAAGTGTTAGTTTATTTAGTGATTACGTAGTAATTATTTAGTAGCTAGGATACGTGGTTATTATAAATAGTGTAAATTAATTATTGTAGGTGTTATTTTTCTGTAACGTGTACAGTGGTAAAAGCAATGGAAGAACCGAGCGTTGATCTAATTAACAATTTCGCGGTCGGGACAATCGCAGTGTGCGAGTGAACATTTTTTGTGGACGGGATAATCGCGCAGTGTGTGTGGACATTTTTCGCGGACTTCTGTGGTTTACGTACATGTGTGAATTAATTTCATGGATACTCGTGGACAGGACAATCACTTTCCGTGATAACCAAAGGGGATATTAACCCTTCTTACGCGATAATATTCGTAAGAAGATATTTACATTTTCTGTGAATTTCATACAGTAACCAGTGTTAATGAGATACAAGTGAATTCGAATCAAATACCGCCGTCACAAGTTGTCGACATCTTCTACCGGGTATGACTATGATTTAGCATTTATAGTTCCATAGACATATATAATAGACTGTGCGGTCTTGTGGTAGGGATGAGGTTGGCAGTAGAGTCAGAGACTTTTCTTTCTAATGGGGCTGTTGGTGGGGGATTCTCCTACGGCTGTGTGGAGGCATTGCATGCGTGCAGCATTCCTTCTCCTCATCGCCCTCCAGTCATTTTCTCCCCTCCCTCTGCGATGTGCGTGCGAGAGAGGAATGACTACACTGCTACTTCTTAGAGTTCTGCATTGGACGGGCTGAGCCCGCCCGTCACCCGGCCGTTTTATCTTTACCCAGGCTGGCCCGGCTCGAACTATACCCGGCCTGCGCAGGCCTGACGATGCGCGCCGCAAAGCCTTCCATACCCGCCCATAGACATATATATAGACGGAGCATGAACTGAGCGGAGGAGTAAGATTCGCGGTAAGGGTGTGGTTAGTTAGAAATCGGGTAACTTTGTTCCTTTTCGGTGCTATTCGGGTATACAACCACGTTACATACATGTATGCTATGAGAGATGAAAAGAATATACCTATTATACGTTAAAAATTCCGTGTGTCATGTAGTTTGTATAGATATATGTATTTAAAAAAATTAATAAATAGTATAAAGCATTAAATAATAGTACGGCACACAGCCCACCAGCCATTAACAACGATCCGAATCGAACAGAATGCATCTGAAGCTAACTGACGTAGGTCTAACGACCGCTGCCTTGTCCCCTCCAATCCTACGGTCCCCTCGCCCAAAGTGTGCTATGTAAAAATGCCCAAAGTAGCTTATGCTTCGTCTATATATGCTATGTACCCGCCCGGATTCGTGCTAGCCTGCCCGACCCGTGGAATCCCCTCTAAGCTCGCTCGGCCCGCTAAGCTTTCTCAGCCCGTTCAATCCGCGCTATACGTGTGCCCTGATCTATATCCGTTCGTTACCCCATGTTCGCTGTTACCCATTGTCACAGAGGGATGGAAACATAAACCTAATCAACATTTCATTTACATTACAATTAAAACAAAAATTAAACTAAACATTAAAATTAAAATTAAAATTAAACTAAACATTAAAATTAAACTAAAGAAATAGAAACTAACAAACAATTAAAACAAAACAAAAATTAAACTATACATTACAATTAAAATTAAACTAAACAAATGCAAACTAATTTTTTATACTGTAATGTGTCGATAGTTGTTGACGACAGATTTTCCAGATGAAAGCAAAACCGGCGAATGTTTTTGAACGATGTTTTTGTGGTAGTGTTTTGCTGTTCCGTTGTATAAATTTGAAACAAAACACGTTACGAGTATTTTGGTTGATTCTTTATTTCAAATTCAATCCCATTTCTGCATGTATCCATAATTTCTTGAATTTCATACAATACACGCAACATTGTTCCTTCAT